TCTCTCTCTCTCTCTCTCTCTCTCTCTCTCTCTCTCTCTCTCTCTCTCTCTGTGTGTGTGTGTGTGTGTGTGTGTGTGTGTGTGTGTGTGTTTGCAATTGTGGCCGGATGCAATTGCGAGAGAAAGTCGTACTGCCTTCGCCTGAACAGAACGTGAAGTTATCAAAGCTGTTCATGGTGTATTTTTCAGTCTATAAGATAGAACGGTACTGACCGGACATTCTATTCAGGCGAAGACGGTACTGTGAGTGTGCCCTGAGGAATGTGAACCAGCAAGCCTGTCGGACCAGAAATGCTGCTGGCGTCGGGCAGGCCTTTGCCGGTGAAGGTTGGGGAGTTCAGGCATGGGAAAAATCTAGCGTAGGGAAAACGACGCCACATACTATGCGCTTATGGGTCAGCAGTTGTGGCCAGCATCACCTTTTTCAGAGGCATTGCCCCTCTGATGACCTGCAAAATTGCAGACTGAACAAATCTGCTGTTTTCTAAGTATCGATGTGTATTCTGCTGAGATTTGCTGTGCTGGGCTGTCTGTGAACCAGTGTAGTGTGGTGCGTGGGGCCTGCTGATGTTTTTGGTCCCTATGCTGGGAAGGCCCGCGAGCCTGCTACTAACCTGTGGCCATGTGTGTACGGGGATGTGGCGGGTAGAGTAGGGTGGAGGATGCCGTGGAGGCCTAAATCAGGAAGCGGTGGGTGGAGTACCAGAAAAGACAATAAGGTAGTACCTTTTGGGTAGGCCGGGTAGCATTTTAGAAGTCCAGTAGGCTTAGGGGTAGGTACCAGGCTGATAGGTCTTGAGTCTACGGCGTGCAAAAGGGAGATATCAGTCTGTAATGGGGTTCCCGCCAAAATTGAGGGGAACCGGTAGTCCTGGGAGGCGATGAGGCCTGGAAAGTCAGTGGGGCACTGTTCCGGTATATCAAGGGAGGGAGTGAAGAGCTCTTCTTCATTTGGCTGGCGTGCACTTGCGGACATGTTGCTGGAGTGCTCACCCAAGCAAGTACAGCGCTGGGGGGTGGAAGGAGGGGAGCCTGCCCCCACCTCGGCTATGGTGGAGGTGACCAAGGCGGAGGTGGGAGAAGGCCTAGGTGGGGTAGAAGAAGGAGGAAGGAGGAAGAGGAAGGAGGAGGAGGAAGGAGGAGGAGGAGGTCGAAGGAGGAGAATAGTGAAGAGGAGCTTACCTTGGCCATGGTGGTCTGCATCTTCATCTTCTTGGTTGGCGATGCACCCCCACTTTTCCACTTTTCCACTTTTCAGCCCCAGGTTAACMCCCCCAACACTGAAAAGTGCATTTGGGGATTTTTTTTTTTCTTTTTTTTTTTGCCCTGCTTTATTTTTGGTCAAGGTCTGCGTGTGCCAAGTTTGGTGTTTGTTGGGGTCCATGTTTTGGCCAGCCCTGAAAATCCTGAAAATTCTGAAAATCCTGAAAAAGTCAGAAAAACTGAAAAGAGCAAATTTTGGATGAAAACATACTTTTGCCTTGGGGTTTTAGGCCCCTGTTCTTGGTGTATTTGGTGTCTACTAAATGGACTGGTGACAAGTCTGGCTTAAAAGGTGTGGGGCGTTTGTTATAATGACCCTGAAAAAACCCCTCCTGAAAATTTAGGGCTCTGTTAACCACTTCTCATTATGCCTGGAGGAAAGACTCCTGGGATTGAATGTGGCATGGCGGCCGCAGTGGGAGAGGCATAGTAGCCTTGCATTGCCCTTTGAACACGAGCCTAGCTCCGAGCCTAGCTCCGAGCCTACCTCCGATGGTCCGCCATAGCCACTGGCTTGATATAAGCCTTGCATTGTCCTTTGAACACTAGAGCCTAGCTCTGTTGGTCCGCCATAGCCACCGGCTTGATATAAGCCTTGCATTGTCCTTTGAACACTAGATCCTAGCTCCGATGGTCCGCCATAGCCACTGGCTTGACCAAGTAGTAGAAGGAGGTGTAGGATGGCTATGGTGGACTTCTTGAATGACTGGCAGTAAGGGGAGTGTTCTGACATTGATTCGGGTTCTCATTCATTCATTGTTGTTGTTATTATATTATTAGTTTTTTAATAATTTTTTATTTTATTTTATTTTATTATTAATAAGATGGCGGGAGAGACTTGGAGAGTTGCTGGAGGTGGGAGATGGTGGCGAGGTGGATGACTGACATTTGTTATTGCTTGTATTCATATTCTTCTTATTCACCCATTCTCATTTCTTCTTCCTCCTCTCTCTCTCTCTCTCTCTCTCTCTCTCTCTCTCTCTCTCTCTCTCTCTCTCTCTNCTCTCTCTCTCTCTCTCTCTCTCTCTCTCTCTCTCTCTCTCTCTCTCTCTCTCTCTCTCTCTCTCTCTCTCTCCCTCTCTCTCTCCCCCCAATCTCTCTCATTTCAGTTGCAATCGAACGACATTGTCTTTCTTGGAATTTCCCCTCTCTGAGATATCCAGGATCATCACACCCCTAACTATCTATGGAATTGAATCCTTGACTTCTAAGTTAACAGTTTGAGTGTATATATAAATTAATAATATTATCAGCCGCCTCGCAGGTAAACAAAGTGCCACACCAAACACCAGTCCTTTTCAATTTTCTTTCTTTCTTAGTGTTCCATGTGTGCTCTCAGTGTTTCCTGAACCATCAATAGCTTGGCTGACATTGGTTCACACGAACTTCACGGCTGTAACAGGGACATGCTTACGCGACTGCACGCACGGGAGCAGGTCCTCCGCATTCTCCTCTGGCGAATCAAGGAATCTGAGGACGATCGAGCGGAATGTATTGCAGGCGAAGGAGCGTGTTCAAGACGCGTGGAGAGTACCAGCTCATCAGCTGCCACTTCATCAGCTGCCATGTCATCTGTAGAAGGTACTTCATTTCGAAGTCAAGCAGGCGGACTGCAACGGGTTTCGAGTCCCACAATGAAAGACTGGGCTGAGCAATGCGCGCCATTTGAGGTGAGGCGAACGGAAGGCGGCCAAAGTGAACGCAGTAAAGCGAGGGGACGGATGACCGAGGGGTTGGAGTTGTTGACGGAGGATATGGAGGAGTGGGAGGGTGGAGACCAGTTGCTTTTCGCAGCTCTGTATGCATTTGCTGAGTTGTCGCTTATCCCTATACAAGGAGAAAAACAAGCAAGACCAACTCAAAATATGATTCCAGGGCACAAAGAGGGAGGTACAGTCTCTACAGAGATAGCTTTTTTGGCTTCTGAGCTAATCGCTCTTTCTCCTGAAATGCCGGGCCCAAAACCATACAGCAAGGAGGATGAAGACGGGTCAGCGAAGAATCCGTCACCAATAGATGTGTTTTTGGAGCAGATTGAGAGGCTGACTGAGGAAGGATTTCCACAAGGGTATGTCTTTCGTGGACCATTAACTAATGCATGTTTTTCAGTTTTTCACTTTTTCTTGCCCAAAAGCTTTCGCTTGCTGCTTTCGGGCATAAAACCTATTGCTGCCTTTTTCACCCGGAGGTAACGCCCGACCATCATGAATGTTTGTAAACCCCGTTCCGGTCTAGAAACTGTCATGATGATGGGGCGTTGTGTTCGGGGAAAGGTGGGTGTACCCCGCATACATAAATACAGCTTGAGATGGTGTGGCAGGATAGAAGAGTGCAGCCTTGCAATTGGATCTGCAACCTGGGGCGGGGTTTTCCACTACGAGCACAACTAACACTGATAATGACTGCACTGGACTGGAAAGATGGCTTGTATACATTCATGATCCGGGTGCGTTGTGTTCGGGGGAAGGCAGTAGCTCGGGGACTGAATTGGAGTAGAACTGAAGGATGTCATGTGGGACATCAAAGGCCGCACCTCCCAGGAACAAGGGGGCTGCTTCTCCCTCAGCCATTGGGTCGGGTGCTTTCAAGGGCACAGGAGTTGAGATGCTGCCTTTTCAGAATAGAACGAATACGGGAGACAGCAGAAACGAGCAAAATGGTCGTCATGATGAAGCGATGAACAGAATCGGTTTTTTTTTTTTTTGTTAAAGATTAAAGAGGTCCTTATTAAGATTAAACTTCATTAAAGGAGTTCTTATCGTCCCGGACCCTGACCAATGAATTTCCTCCGCGCATTTTTTGAGAAACGGAAAGCCGTTAAAAAACCATGGAATCGCGTTTGGCGTCTCCCGAAGATGCGGTTGAGGTACAGCATCTGCAATTTGGCATGAGCTTTCATCTCAGTGCACACACATCACCAGTGTTAGCACTGGTGTGCTATGACTTTCTATATATAATATATATATATTTTTTAATTAATCAAATCATTCCCTTGTGGCTCTTTCTCCATTCTATTCTGGAGAACGTCAGTCTGGTTCCATTTCCGCTGGCAAACGGTGGCAAGATATAAAATAGAAGAAATTACAGACAGTTACACAAAACACTTCCTTCTGTTAAGGCCCTTAAGGGTGAAGGACCCTTGTGGGTCCAGCAGCCGACCTCTACAAAACCCTGGACTTCTGCTCTTAAAAGTGAGGGGGAAGAAGAAGAAGAAGAAGAAGAAGAAGAAGAAGGACCCTCTGATCAGCACTGATGACGCCTGATAGGAGGAAGAAGAAGAAGAAGAAGAAGAAGAAGAAGAAGAAGAAGAAGAAGGACCCTCTGATCAGCACTGATGACGCCTGATAGGAGGATGACTGTCAGGCTACCCTCGCTTACTTCCTGATTTCCTCTCAGCCTATTTCACACCGACTGCGTGGTCCTCGTGTAGCCCTGGACCTTCAGGGGAGAGAGAGAGAGAGAGAGAGAGAGAGAGAGAGAGAGAGAGAGAGAGAGAGAGAGAGAGAGAGAGACAATGAAGCTGAAGCTTTCTCCGTTGGCAGCCTAGCTACGCACAGCTGGAGATGATGTCTCCGATCATAGGAGCAGTCACCGTCTGTTCTTTTGCTTTTTTTTTTTTTCTCTGGATAAAAAACAGGTCTTTATGGGGCCGCCGCCCGGGTCCATATCCATTCCAGGGAGCATCATTCAAGTTCCTATATCCCTCGCAACAGTGGCAAGTCAGAAATCGTACATAGTTTACGCACTCTCCAAGAGTCTCGACTCTCAAGACTTCCCCTGTTACGGCATGGGGAAACCCGGCAGCATTGATTACTTCCTTCAGAGGGATTGACTGCCAGTTTTTTTGGCTCATTCTGAAGGTCAGACCCCTCCTTCTAGCAGCAGAAGTACCCTCGTCAAAAAAAAAAAAAAAAAAAAAAAAGAGTCCTAAAACCGCCAGTACAGGGCCCCATCCTTGCAGAAACTGAACTCATCCCCACCACCGCAACGTTTGGGGCCAGGCCGCCGTTGATAAATTTCATCAATGGATTTTGTTGCGTTTCCAGCCTCCGAAAGTCGCGGTGAGGGGTCAGCGGCCGATTCATGGCCCGTGTACTGTGTGGTCTAAAAAAGTCTCTCTGAGTCTGCTAAAAACAGAGTGTTGTATCTCTCAGTGAAACCTAGGACAAGTAGGCCTGTAGTACTCTGTACACAGGCGATACACTGCAGCTGTCCCCCTTCGTGCTTGCCTTTCTGGAGGAAGAAGTCTTGATGTTGAAGCTGCATGTTTGGTTGATGGGTTGCCTTTCGGACCGCCGATGTTGCATTTTTGCGGTTTCTGCTTCACCTTCCGATTCCGATTTCTGCTTCTCCTTCATGGCTTGTGCTGATCCCACACGAAAGCTTGTGGTTTCTTCTGTGTTTCTCGCGATTTCCTCTGCGGCGGTTCATCGCTTGTGTTGGTTGTCCACCATCTGAAAATTTGATTCTGTCATCCCCTACGCACCCAATCTTTCCCCTCTCCACCATGTTTACCAGCCGGGCTGCCTGGGTCCCGGGTGGCCAGCCCGTGCAAGGACCAGGGAAGTTCCCAGCAAAATCATAATAATAATAATAATAAAAAGTAAAAAAAACGGTTTAAGAACCGAAAAAATAAAATTTGTGGGACGTTTTTTGGCTCGTCCGGTTTTGCCGGACGGACCCTCCCCCGTCCGTCTGGACCGGGCGCCAACCTAACCCAGAAAAAAAACCGAAAAAAAACTATGTTATGCACTAGGCTACCAGCCGGGCCGCCCGGGTCCCGGTGGCCAGCCCGTGCAAGGAGCAGGGAAGGTCCCAGCAAAAAAAAAAAAAAAAAAAAAATCCGAAAAAAAACTATGTTATGAAAAAAAATAAACTGAACAACTTTTGCCTCAGGGTCACATCGAAATTCTGCATCAAATTTAGAAACAAAAATAAAATTAAGAAATAGTTTTTTTTATTTTTATTTTTTTAATTGTTTTTGGCCCGGCCGGGCAAGTGACCCCGGGCCACTCTGGTAGCCTAGGTTATGCAGAAAAATAAACTGAACAACTTTTGCCTCAGGGTCACATCGAAATTCTTCACCAAAATTATTATTATTATTATTATTATTAATTTATTATTATTATTATAATATTATTTTGTGGCCCGGCCGGGCAAGAGACCCCCCGGGCCACTCTGGTAGCCTAGTGAAGAACCCTTTTGTTGACTCTTGCTTTGTGAGTGGCTTTTGGATACATGAACAGTCGCCACTTTTGCCCAAATAGCGCTGTGATTCTCTTTGTCCCGAGTTCTCGTAGTTCCGTAGGGGGCTCCCGAGTTGTGCCACTTCTTCCGCCTGAAGTCTTGGCCATTAAACCACCAGTACCTCCACGTTTTTAGGCCGTTAACGCAGTGGCTGAATCGGTGGCACCGCACGGGTCCATATGCATTTGCATCAGAGCCTCCCCAGAGGGGGCCTAATACCCCCTTGGGTACTGGTGGCTTAAATGATGTCATCTTCCTGTGGGTTAGTGATGTGCATTGAAACTTGGCCCTGATTCTCTGTTCCTCATCGTACATGAGCCAGCCATAGTGAAGCACCCCTTTTTCCCCACACCTTTCCAACTTCTGTCCCTGTGCAGATGGTTTGGACTCTGGAGGTATTGGTCCTTGTTCAACGGCTGGTTCCCGTTCCGCATTTGTCATAGCGCACGAGCATGGTTCTGGGCACTCGTTGATGTCACAAATTGGAGGGCCCACAGGCCATGCACAAACTGCAGCTGAGGCACATCCACACACCCTCTCTCACTCGCTCATGTGCACACTTTCTACCAGCAACATGGCAGACACAGAAGAGGAAGGAGGAGAGCGATCAAGGTAGGACGGAGGTAGGAAAGGAGGCAAGGGAGGGGGGAGGGAGAGAGTGGGGGGAAAGGGAGGGAGCGGGGGGGGAGGAGGGAAGGGGGGAAGAAGGGAAGGAAGCAGACCAGGGAGGGAGGGAGGGAGGGGAGGAGGGAAGGAAGCCAAAGAGGGAGGGAGGGGAGGAGGGAAGGAAGCCAAAGAGGGAGGGAGGGAGGGAGGGGGGGATATCGGGGGTGGGGGGAAAGGCAGAGAGGGAGGGAGGGAGGGAGGGAGGGAGGGAGGAATGGATCACCATGTTAATGATCTATAGCACTGTTGTGGTTAAATTTTAACTTGTTTGGTTGGTCCCCCTACTTCACTTGCAGGGTCCGCTGCGGGGCCGCCTATCTGCTGAGCCAGTATGGGCGTTTTGGGTTCCAGTGTCCCCTTGGGACTGATATTTCCAAGGCACTGAATGATGAGGTGAGTTTGACGGCAACATGTGAGTGCATTGTGGGAGCACTTGCATTTGTGAAAATCCAATCGACAACTTTATGCTTGCATGACGGAATGTTAGCCTCAATCATGTCTACGAGTAGCTAGATATTGAGTTTGCTGGAATGTCATCCTGCATAGTAGGAGCCAGGGTCCACTGATGATACCACTAACCTGGCCAACATGAAGACCAGGTTCACGGATTCTAATCAGCGACAAAGGGCAAGAGGGGCCTATTCTGAAACAGTTTTGGGTCCCTTCTGCACTCTTTTCTCCCAGTGCACCTGTGGATTGCTGTGAATTGCCGTGAATGGCTTCTTCTCTCGCTAGCTTGCTGTCTCTTCTAGTATACGATTAGCGCTGGAGCCTCCTTATGCAGTAGAGTGCAAATGTGCCTGAGTCTTTGGCAGGCTGTTGGTAACAAGAGGATTTTTTTTTTTTTTTTTTTTTTTTTTTTTTTTTTTTTTTTTTTTTTAATAGAAAGGAGCCAGGACCTTAAGGCCCTGCTTAAAAAAAAAAAAAAAAAAAAACAAACAAACAAACAAACAAACAAACAAACAAACAAACAAAAAAACAAAACAAAACAAGAGTTCTACCAAGAAAAAAAAAAGGAAAAAGGAAAAGGAGTTCTACCAAAAAAAAAAAAAGGAAAAAGGAGAAAGACAAGCTAATCATCTGACATCCGATCGCTGGGGTGGAATATACCATGTGGCTTCACCTCTTGCAGGACTTTTCAGATATAACGTTTATATTTGGCGATGGCCGTCGAATCCATGCTCATCGCGTGATCTTGTCCGCTCGCAGCCCAGGTCTCACCGCTGCATTTGATTCGAAGCAACAGGAGCATGATGCAAACAGGAACGTAGCAAATGGGAATTACGCAAAAATGGCAGCGGGAGATCCACGCTCATCCGGTGCGAGTCGTGCGACCAGTCGGGTTTCGAGTACACAGTTCTCTTCTGGAGTGACTGAGCAATGTCAGCGTACAATTTCGCCATGTGCGACCTGCCACCTATACACACCTGAGGTAACTAGCATCTCCACTCAGTCTGCTATGAAGTGGATGGATGCTGATCATGGCCTTCGGCATGCTGGCAATGTCCACTCCCTGGCGGAACATGTTGACTCCGCCATGCTCTCCTCCCTCAGCTTGGAAGACAGGAAAGGAAGTGGGGAACTTGGGTTCGAACCCTCAAGTCAGGGCTCTGCCGAGGGCTATGAAATGCTAACAATGCCTAATCGGCGATTTGTTGGAACGACTCCAGAAGGTCATGCAAGCACATCGGGTTCAAACCCAAGGTTCGAGATCCGTGTTTCGCCAAGAGTTCCTTATGATGTTTTCTGGGAGCTGCTGATGTACGTATACGCAGGTTATGTCCAGGTGCGACGGGAAGACATGAAAGAGCTGCGCGTACTGTCCAGAAAGTGTGGCCTCCAAAGTTTGACACGGTTGTTGCAAGGTCGCCGGCCATTGGTCGGCGACCATGCAGAGCCATGTTCTCTTGAGCGAGCTCTTCGGGAAGACGGATTAAGATTCAGGTCAGGGAGCAGTTTCAACTTTCAAGTGCCAATCTCCTCTCCCTGAGAAACGACGTTCCTGGCTGTGATTGGCCCTGAAGTGCATAATATGATATTAAAATTACAATAAATTAATATCTAAGTTGCATGTTCAGCTCTGTCCTCGGGCTTTGAGCACTTCTTTTTTTTTTTTTTTTTTTTTTCCCCTTCCTCCTCTCGCTTCCCTTCCCCTCCTCCCTCACCTGCTGATCACGAAGAGAACAGACAAAATAAAAGGTGCAGGTGTGCTGAAATGCAAACGGTTGTGTAGTACGGTGTATTCATTCCACGCTCAAGTGCACAGATGTGTTTGACCTTGCACTTCTCAGAGTACAGCAATGAAACGGCCGTTTCATCAAAATGTTACAGTATTCAAAACATCACAATCGTTTAAATATCACAAATAACTTGATAGAAGATTATGAAGTAAAGCTGTTTCAATTTTGAATCGACTCGTCTGGGCGGAAAAAGGGGCTGTTTAGTTGACAGTCTGTAACACACACACTGCTCTGTCTGTCTGTGTGTTGGTCGGTCCGTCGCTTGGTCTGTCTGTCCGTCCGTCCGTCCGTCTGCCCTCTGCCCGCTCGTCTGCCTGCCTGCCCACCCACCCACATAGCTTGCCCGCCCACCGGCCTGCCGACGTACCCACCCGCCC